TAATGGAATATAATGCGGGACGGCGAAATGTACCACTTGATTCGCCGCGTAGGCGTAATAATGATTGTGATCATGCAACTCGAGCGGTACTATTCGGAGAAGGGGAGTTCGCACATCTCCCGTTATATAAGGCTCGCAAATATCGCAATAAACGAAGAGTTTATCGGGGATTCCGCGCGACCAGCCATGAGGCTCGCTAGAAAATAAATTAGTATAACGAGCGCCTTGCGCGGTTTTAAAACCGAGTTTGATAAAATGCGCTGTAAAAGTTTCTTTGGAATTGGGTTTAGTTGCCGTGAGCGTGGTATGGTTAATACCCTCTGCGTTCCTCACGACATACCCGACGCCGAGTATTTGTAGAAGATTATCGGAAACGTGCATATGATGAATCAGCTCGCACTCGTCCCCGCAGTTAATGCTAAAGTAGATTTTACCGCCGGGGGTGTTTTCCAAATAAAAATGCGAATCGACGTTTTGAAACTCCTTATTAATCACGGCGATAAGTTCGTCGATATTTTTGTAAATACCATTCGGTATTACGCCCTCCGTCGACGAGTACGGCGCGTCCTTCTTTAGCGCTCGATCTTTTTTAATATCGACGAAAGTGATGATATTTTCGCCGTGATTTATGTGCAAAAAAGTAGCGGGAAATTGAATCTCGCTGAGCGCGACTTCCCATTCGCCGTGCAAGTGTAGAGTTTGCGGTAATTCCGTAGTGAATGACGCGGTTGTATTGTTCGGGAAATAACGCATGCTGCTATTGCTCGGAAGGACCAGGAGAAATTGATCTTCCCTCATCTTGAAGAGATGTTAAATTTGAGGCGGGGAATCGAACTTGCTGGGATAGCCACGCCAACTAACAAGCAGCTGTTTATTAGCGCCGCGTCCCCTGCTCTCTATCACGCGATCGACGATGAACTCTTCCTCGTTCAGGTTTTTCTCGACTCTGCCTAGTTCTTGCTCGTAAAAAATACCATCTATAGTCTCGCCCGTTAAATCGCTCAACTCGTACACAGGCGGTTTTCGCCACTCGAGAATGCGATGAATTCGGAATATCTCTTCGCTCCAACGGGACTCGTAGCCTTTCTCGAAAGCGGCTTTTGCTCTACTGATCCGAACGAGTTCGCCGACGCGATATTTAACCATTTGTTTCTTCTTCTTCTTCTTCTTCTTCTCGTCATTCCGCCGCCATCGTCGGCTTATATTTTCACGCGCGATACGGGCGTTTTCGCGCGTAACGATCGCCGGCTGCATTCTGGTGGACGAATGACGGGTGTGATTGTAAGCGCTTACGATAGCCTGCAGAACATCGCGGTAACGTCGCGTATTTTTATGCGTGAATTAACGCCACATTCGTTCTTTCAACGTTCTGTTAAACCGTTCGACGACGGCGGCTTTGACATCTGGATTGCGGGCTACTCGAAAACGAATGCCCTTTTCCTCCAGAAACCTTTGCAAAGCCTGCCCGATAAATTCCTTGCCTTTGTCCGTTTGCAGGTAGACCGGCACGCGGCCTTCGTTTCTCGAGAGCACGCGTTGAAGGGCCTCCGTTACGCCTTTACTCGTTTTATCGCGTAACGGCTCCACCCAGGCGTATTTACTGAGCACGTCGATAATTACCAGTAAATACGAATAGCCGTCGTTGTAACTTTTGAGATTTCGGAGTTCGATCAAATCGGCCTCCTACAGGTCGTCGATATTCGTTACGTTGTAATGCAAGCGTGGAAATTTCCGGCGCAACGGACGATGCAGCGTGTACGCGTCTTGCGATTCGAGCCATCGTGCGACCCCGTTACGGGAGAATTTTGGTTTAGCGGCGCGATACAGATTATCAGTTGCCGAATAGCCCGCGTAATGTCGCGGATCGTAGTATAATTTTTCAAGGTCCGTCATTTTTTAGTTCAATTTACGCCAATCGAGTAAACGTCTTTTTGTCACCGTCGTCGAGGAGGTTGTATTCGGAGTGGAGCTCGCAGCAGCGCGACGTTGCCTAATATTTGGAGAGCCGCAGGCTAATAATTCCTTATTTTTCACCAGTATCGCGGGGGTGTTTAAGACGCGTAGTAATCGCGCGAACCGATCTCTCCCCGCTGCTTTCACGGTTTTTCTCTCGCGCATCGCGTCGTTTATCAGGTCCGCGATATTCGAATTTTTTTACGACGTCGCCGTCTATAGTCACGACTCCGCGCTCGTCCCAGCTCATTCTAGTCGGCACGGCTTTATCGAGCAGATGCCTCATCAGCAGACGCGCGTGGGCGCGATAAGATTTCGGTACGCTTTCCACTATTCTCGCGGCGCTCTTCGTCAGCTCGAGATCGCGCGCACGTTTCTCGCCGCCGCCGCTGCGATACCGCTAGAGTGCGAAGGCCTAATGGACGAGATCGGCGTGAGATCGACGTGGGACGTCTCGTCCGTATCCCCCGTTGCCTCTTCCTCCTCCTCCTCCTCCTCCCTCGCTTTTAGCGTATCATTGTCCACATTTTCGGTTTCTTGCTCCTCGCTGTTGCGAGCGTCATCGTGATTTCGTTTTC